GAATCTTAACAAAATGTGTTCCTGTACATTAAAATTAATCTCAATACTTTAATTTCCTTATCTGTAAAATAAAAGCACTAAAGGCCACTAAGATCCCTTTCAGCTTTAAAAGCTGATTAACATTTCACTTATCTACAGCTCCCCCAAAAACCTCTCCTCATTTCCAATTTAGTAATTTGGGACAAGAACAGCTCAGTAAACAGAAAACATCCCCAGGGAAAAATGGAGGCTAAGATTAAGGAATCAAATTTCCAAACTAAGTAATGCTTCCCATGTTGAGGGACCCCCCAGTAAGATAATAATATGTGAGAAAGTGCTTTTAAATTTTTCAAGACACTACAGAAATGTACAGTGGTATAATACTGAAAACTGTGATGGGTGGCATTTTTCAGTAATAGGAAATGCTGGGGGTATTCAGATATAATTGGAAATATTATCCTCTCATACAAAAGTAGGGTCACTCCAAACCACCAATGTAGCTCTTGTGTCAAGATAACTAAGTGGTAGAGTTTGATTTTTTTAAAAAACTGCTCATTTTACCCTATTTCTACAACTCATGAATATTTTTGCTCATTGGCCCCGATTGTATTGAAAAGGAGATAACATTTTTGGTAATAATTTCAAGTTCCAGATTTTGATTGTCAAGTGGAGTGTCGTTGTGGAGGGAGAGCCTTGAACTTGATACAGTAAAAAATGTCTGGTTTTTTAAAGCCAGCAAAGCTCATTAAAAAGTTTTATGAGTGGTTGGAATCTTTAGGTTCAGATACTTGAAACACCTTCACTTTGTAATCTGTGATCTACTCCTCAAGGTATGCCACTTCCTGAGTTCTTCTGGGCCTTAAATACTGACTAATTGCTCATTTTAGAAAACTTAATAAGGTGAATCTATAAAGGATTAAACTAAAGGAAAATACAGAACTCCAAGGGTGTTTTGTGTTGTTGTTTTTTCCATTTTAGGCTGGTCGGGTTTAAGAGAATTGGTTGGGGAAAGGCTGCCATCTTGTGGCCAAAAGTAAAAACTTGCTCCAGGAGCACTAAGGGTTCCCAGAGTGACAACTGCTCCTACAGAAAGAAGGAAGCCTTCCAATCCAAGCTCTCTGTGCATCCCCAGCGTCCCCACTAACAACAAAGTCTTCAAAATTAAAGTTGAAAAGACATTAAAGAACTCTTTGCTCAAGCAAAGCTTTAAGATGGGGTGGGCAACCTTTTTGTGAGTACGTGCCAAAACCAGCAAAATCTCTGACTCAAAATTCTTCTGCGTGCCAACCCTAAATTTTTAAGAACATGTTACGCCTACTTGATATCTCTTAAGGTGTACGTATGTGAAGAACCTTGAAGAAATAATAAAATTCATTCGAGCGACAAAAACACAGTATATGATGATGAAAATACATTTATTTTTTAATGTATACATGTACACTGATAGTCCGACAGAAAACTTTATGACTCCATTTGATATTATCAGTGGGACTTTTGCTGCTGCATCACTGATGACAGAGATTTTACATCAGGTTTATATTTCGTGACCTTCAGAGATATGCACGAGCTACTACTTTCATCTGTCAGGCTACTCCTATTATGAGACTTAACAAAATTCATCACTAAGAACAAAGATTCACAAGCGTATGTGGATGAAACCAAAACACTGGTCGGATCTAGGAAGGCAGGGAGAGTTAAGGCAGAGGCATAGAAATTGCTCTTCCCCTCTCTCATCAATCCATGTCTATGGTCTTTAAGATAACTTGTTATGTAAAATTATTTATTTATCTAAGATGCCCCTACACTGACTTTATCTGAAAAATAAAAAAGTCGACATTAAGAAAAAAATTGTAAATGGAAGATTATAAGAGAGGGTTTCGCGTGCCAGCAAGTTACTGGCGTGCCATGTTTGCCACGCGTGCCAGGGGTTGCCCACCCCTGCTTTAGGAGAAAGATAAAGTGGATGATAAGAGATGTGGGCTTCCCTGCTTCCTTCCTTCCCTTCCTCCCTCCCTCCCTCCCTCCCTGGCAGCCCAGGAGCCTCCATTAGTTTTCAGTTCATTGCAGGAACTGAAGCCCAGAGATCAACAGACTCACTCAGAAACCCCAAGTCTCCCCTCTCCCATTGCAGGGCTCTCTCTTCTGACAAGCAGACTTCTTTCACATGATTTACCTCAGGCTGAAAACGTCAAAAATCATCTACTTCTGGAACTTAGAAAACACCAATAAAATTCCTTTCATTCCATCCCAACCCACCTCAGAGCAGATCTGATTGGGGGGTGAGGACAATGAAGACTTCCAAATAATGAGACTCTCCATGAGTGTGACTTTGTGCAATGGTGGAAATGTTCCCTGTCTGTACCGTCCAGTAGAGTAACCACCACACACACTGAACACTTGAAACGTGGCCAGTGTGACCAAGGAATTAGCATTTCAATTTGTTTAATTTTAATTAATTTAGATAAATTTACCACATGAGACTACGGGACAGAACAGTTACAGATCTTGCCTCCCTAATCCATTCTGATATTATCACCTTTACAAACAAAAACCTATTCATTCAAAAAGATGCGTTTTGACTACTATATGGAGACCAGTGTGTATTCTGCAGCACACACACAAAAGCAGAAAATACAGTCTCTGCTTTCCAGGAGTGTGCAATCAAATGGGGGCGAGAGAGCACGTAGACGTGGAACTAGAGCCAACAGCACAGGGAGTGGGGAGCCCTCTGATGTCCGGGAGCTACAGGGCTGGGTCAGTGGGAGATTTGTGACTGAAACGGGGCCTTAAAAGGACATGAAGCAGCAGGAGGGGACACGGGCGTTTTAGAGAAAGGGCAGCAAGGACAAGGAACAGAGCTGGGAGGTCATAAGGTTTGCTCAGGGGATCCCGGGAAGCCCAGTCTGACTTGAGGGGTAGTTGTATGTAAGGGACTCACGGGAAAGTCAGAAAGGCACGTTAGAACCAGTTTCCAAACATAAAACTGAGAGACCCAAGAAGGGACCAATGGAGATGGGGAGTGGGGGGTGGGGGAAGGGACCAATTGAAAGATTTCAAAGGAGGAGGGCACCAGACTTTGGAAAAGAGTAAATGCTGGAGATGGGGAAAGGTAAGAGATGACTTGAATCTTTAAACCCTGGGTAAGTGGAAGATTGTTGGCACCAATGAAGAGGCAGATAACTGGGGGAGTGGGACAGGTGAATGAAGGTTGTTGATGTTGAGGTTGATGAGATAGTCAGATGGATCAACAAGCACTTTCAGAAGTGAAATGAGAGTGAAAAATAAAAAGAGAGGCTGGTGGATGTGAGAGTCAAACCAAACTGTTGACTGAAACCATGGAGCAGAGGGGTAGACACAGGAGGAGGAGGAAGGAAAGGAGAAGAGGCCTGAGGACAGGCTCTGCCTCTGATGGCAAACAGCCCCTTTCCAGGGAGAAAAGAGGGCAGAGTTGGGGAGAACATCCAGAGAAGTACACCTTCCTACAGGGGCGGGAGGGCGTGGCCTCACTGCGTATGCCTGCACCCCTTAAACACGCGTCGCTGCCTTCCTCACTAGATTGTCAGCTGTGCAGAAATGAAGATGATGCCATGTACTTCCATCTCAATGCCTACAACAGTGCAAGGTAAACCCAGTCTGAATACCTTGAGGTGGCAGGAGATGATGCAAGGGGCCCCAGAGGAGGGTGAGCCTTCGAGGTTTTGCTAATTTGGAAAATTAGTCCTAGACTAGAACACTGTGCTGGTCCCATCTCACAAAACTTAAAAGCAAGACCCGTGTTTGTGATGTGAGCTAGTTCAGTGGGTCCCAGTCCTGGGAAGTGGTCAGAATCAGCTAAAGGCTGGTGCTTGGCCCCACCCTCAGAGAGGATGATTTAACCACCTGGGCAACACATAGCAGTTTAAAGCCCCCAGGTGACTCTCATGAGCAGCCAGGGTTGAGAACCTTCCAGAAATGGGCGAGGTTTCTAGCCCAGTATTGAGTGCCCTTTCGTTCTCCTAATGCAGCAGCAACGAAAATAATTTTCTGGTTGGGTCACAACATGAGGAACTGTATTTAAAGGGCCAAGAGGTTGAGAACCACTGTCCTAATGGCTGGTGCGATTTTTTATATTCATGTAACACACTACAGTTAACAAGCAAAGTTTGCAGATTTCAAGATGCTGGCATATACTACACACAATCCATTAGCAGGAGTCCCACATACGTTAACTCATTTAATGCCTAGAGAATCCTGGAGAAGTTCAGTTGCCTGCCCAAGACCCCACAGTTGGTAACAGCCCGAGGAGCTGACCCCAGTGCCCACTCTCTGATCTGTTCCCAGACCAGCAGCTCCCATTTTTCCTGAAAAGCAGGTGGGGGGCAACTCAGACACTGAGCTACAGGCGGGGAGCCAGCTACAGAACAGTGACAAAACCGAGGCCTTGTCCCTGGCACCACCTGCCTTTGCCCAGCTTCAGCCAGGCATGGTCCTCAAGGACAGCTGACCAGGAGACACACCTAGCAGGGCCAGGACAAGGAAGTGCAAAAATAATTTCTTTTCCTTACTCTCATTCCACGTTGCGCCACTGTGGTAACAAGTTTTACAAACACCTTACACCTCTCTGACAACGGGGCAATCATTTCTGAGTAAGAAACTCTGTTACAGTAAAGGACTCCTCTTCCCCTCCCATCCCCTTCCAAACGCCCAACAAAAGCAGCAAGATTCATCCCCAGCTGGCCAGGGGGTTCCTAGCCTCGTCTGCTACTTCCTGGGCTGCGGGAAGGGGCTGGGACCATTTGCAACCTGCACACAGCTCTGGAGAGAGGAAGACTGAGAAAGGCCTGACTGCACCTTCACCAGCCTGCTGAACGCGGTGCACGAACGCTGGCTGACAGCACCGCAGCCTAGAAAAGGTTGACAAGTGGATGACTCCACCGCGATGCTGCCTGGTGCAGCGGCACAGGGTTAGAGCTCAGCCTGGCTTCGGTGTCAGAAAACCCAGGCTCCAGGGTCCTTGGCCCGGACGGACGAGGTCCCCTTACCCGCAGGAGCACAGGTCGCAGATGCACTTCCTCTTCATCGGGGCCATCGGGAGGCATGCCCCGCCGTCACTGCCTCGGAGACCCCAACCGCCTCACGGGGGGTGCACAAGGTCTCGAGGGCCTTGGCAACTGTTCCGAATATTTACGCCAAAGACAACTTAAATGGCCTTTTTGCAAAATCCGGTTGTCTGTTCCCCTTCCTGAGCTGGCCTTACGCGAGAGAAGCACGGAGCGTGGGCAGCGCCAGCCCCGCGAGCTCCCCGTGCATGCACCTAGCCTGCCCCCGGAGCAGCTGGCCCGGCCCTGGAAGCCGCAGCACCGGACCCGCGGGGCCTCTGTGACATCACCGGGGCCAGGAGGCTCGCCTCTGGTGGCCATGATGTCACAGGGGCCGTCTGTGAGGTCAGAAAGCTCCCAGCGCCTCACCTGGCAGGCCCAGGACAAAGGCTCATTGGAACTTGGAGAAACCTGAAGTAAAAGGCGAGCCGACTTTGGAAAGCTCGTGGGTGAGCAGGTCAGCAAATGCCGTGGTCACTTGTGCAAAAGGGCTGTCACCACATCGGGTGGCATTTTCTAGCTCTAGGGACCATAGCGCCCTTTCTTATAGAAAGGCATCCCTTGACTTCCGGAAGGCTGGCCTTAAATACCGTTTCCAGGTCCTTCTTGCGGAAATCAATCCCTTTGGCTCCACCCATAGACCTCGCACGCTTGAGAACAAAGCGTTTCAGGGCACCTGGCCCTTGCTCCTTGGGTAGGGTGTTCAATCACTTCTCCAGGTGCTAACAATGCTGGGGCAGAGGGGCCGTGGTTAAGTTTTGTGCATTAGAATCAGCTGGCTTGATACAAATAAGATTGCCAGGGCTCACCCCGGAGCTTCTGATTCAGTAGGTCTGGGGTGGGAGGAGAATTTTGTATCTAACAAGCTAACAAGGGCTATTGATGCTGCCGCGTGGAAAACCACACTTTAAGAAGCACAGCTTTCAAGATTCTTTTGCCTTCTCTAAGGAGCCTTACCTGGTCCTGAGAACCACCACAGATCCTGCCCAGATCTCTAGTCTGAGACCCTAGTTTACACGGCTCTGGTAGGTTGTGTGGAATTAAACATTATGACTTCCTGGTTATAAGAAATGGGAGCTTAAAGTATTGATCATTTGCATGCTTATTTTTCTTTCCCACACTTCCTAACTCTCCCCCTTCGTTTAGTGAAAAAGTGTGTCAGTCAGTCAGAGGATTATTAGACTTGAGGATACTTAATATTCAGAGGTTATTTGGGGGGTTTTCGGCCATGGTGGGCTGCAGAACAGAGGTCAGCAAACTATTGCCTGCAGGCCAAATTCAGCCCGCCACCTGTTTTTGTTTGGCCAGCAAGCTAATAATGGTTTTTATGTTTTTTAGTGGTTGAAAAGCATTAAAAGAATATTACATGACAAATGAAATAATAAAATTCAAATTTCAGTACCCATAAATAGAATTTTGTCAGGAATTTGTGAAAATATTCCTGAATTTGCTTCCTGGCCCTCAAAAGCTAAAATGTTTACTATATGACTTTTTACAGAGAACATTTGCCAATCCCAACTGTAGAAAGTAAAAAAGGTGGATCAGAGGGGGAGCGAGCTTACTGATTGTTCTTAAGAACAGTGGAGGGGCCCTGGCCGGTTTGGCTCAGTGGATGGAGCGTCGGCCTGCGGACTGAAAGGTCCTGGGTTCGACTCCGGTCAAGGGCACGTGCCTCAGTTGCAGGATCCTCCCCTCCCGGCCCTGGTTGGGGCATGCACAGGAGGCAACCAATCAATGTGTTTCTCTCACATTGATATTTCTGTCTTCCCTCTTTCACTCTCTCTAAAAATCAATGGAAAAATATCCTCGGATAAGGATTAAAAGAAAAAGAAAAGAACAGTGGAGAGTGAAGCTGCTCCTTGCCTTCCTGGTAGGAGGTCAGGGTCCTAAAGGGGAGGATGGAAACCTGGTGGACAAGATGGCGAGGTGGGAGCTAGTGGACGGCAAGGCAAAGCATGAATGCAATCCCTACCCACTGACAGGGAACATCAATCACGTGGCCCTTATAGAGGAACTACAGTACTGAACACCAGCCTTTTCTTGGCAGCTGACTAAACATTCTTCATGAATCTTCCAGAAGAAGGATGTCCTATTCATGCCCCTGGACTTTGATGAGAACCACCCCCAAGCAAACTGCTCTTGTGGATAGCAGCCTTGTCAACAACCCATGGCACTCCCAACTTCTCCCATCCCTGCCCTCAACAGTGGGTGGAGATTTTGAAAGACAAGGTGGTGCAGACAAATAAGCCTCAACACTAATTTACCATGGGCATTTCTGGAGAGCTGGTGCTAGGCAGGACAACTTCCCCTGCCACCCTTGTTACACTTACTGCCCATGTTTTTATTAGTTCTAGCCAACTCTCATTTAAACACCTCTCTCTGTTCCAAAATATCCTTCCCTATAAAAAATTTACTGTCACTTGCTATGCATTATATACTCTGCTACTTTCCCATAAGCTCTCTTAAAATTAACATAAATCTATCAGACCCATATTACAAATAAGAACACTGACCCTAGGAGGTAAACTCACTCAAGATGACATATCTAGCCCTGCCCAGTGTTCTCAGTGGTTAGAGTGTTGGCCCATGCACCGAAGGGTCTTGGGTTCAATTCCCAGTCAAGGGCACATACCTGAGTTTCAGGTTTGATCCCCAGCCCCAGTTGGGGCTTGTGCAGGAGGCAACCAATTGATGTGTCTCTCTCACATCAATGTTTCTTTCTCTCTCTTTCTGCCCTCCCCCCGCCCCCCGCCACCACACACACACACTCCTTTCCACTGTCTCTAAAAAAATCAATGGGAAAAAATATTCTTGGATGAGAATTAACAAAAAAAGCAAAACAGAAAAAAGATGATATAGCTATTAAGTATGAGAGCTGGGATTCAGACTTTCCCAGGTCTTTCTTTTCAAACTGTTCCACCCAAGAAAAAGAGAAAGAATGAATAAGGTAAGCTGGAGATCTTAGAGACCACTACAAATGGTATTTGATCTTAAAATTTTACATTTACTTCTCTATATTATTTAATATTTTCCCCAAAGTCTTTTCATAAAATTTATACTCTGTGAAACTACACAAATTTTATTCTGTGGCCTTATAACCTACCCAACCCCAAACTCATTGCTATATACTATCTGAAAATCTACTCTTTGTAGAAAATTGTTGGAAAATCTATAGTTACTCCTCTCAGCATAAAGCACTTTAACAAAACACTGTCTTTTTAGCATCCTTAACTATTTTAGATTGCCAACCTTCATTAGCACCAACCGAAGACTAGCCCATCATAATACACAAACTGGACCTCTACCATTTGACCATTCATTTGTTCCACAAACACTTACCCTCAGATGAGCCAGGGTACTGAAGGATGGAGACGAGGACAGTACCCTCATGCAACTTAATCTAGAGGGAGAAGCAGATGACCAAAATATTGCCAAAGTGTATCATTATAAACTATTGTAAGTATCAAGAAGGAAAAATAAGGAATAAGTGAACCCTATCAAATATTTGAGGAATAAATAACACCAATCCTATGCATACTCTTTTAGAAAATAGAGAAGGAAAACTTCTCAGTTCATCCTATGAGGCCAGAATAAACTCCAAAACCAGACAAAATTGTCACACAAAAACTACAGATCAATATCTCTCATGAATATAAATATAAAAATCCTTTTTAAATACTAGCAAACTGAAACCAGTAACATATAAGAAGGATTATATGCCATGACCAAGAGAAGTTTATCCCAGGAATACAAGGTTGTTTTGACATTGGAAAATCAATGTAATACACCACACCAATAGGATAAAGGACAACAGATATTTCATCTTCTCAATAGATATAGAAAAGGCATTTGACACTATCCAGTGCTCATTCTTGATAAAAATCCTCAAGAAATTAATAAAAGAAGGGAATTTCCTCAACCTGAAAAAAGTCATTTACAAAAAAACTACAATTGCCATCATGCTTAGTAATAAGATTGAAGGCTTCTCCCCTGAGGTAATGAACTAGACCAGATGTCTGTTCTCACCACTTCTATTCAGCACCCTACTGGAGATTATCACCAGTGGAGTAAAAAAAACAAAAATTAAAGTCATCCAGATTGAAAAGGAAAAAATAAAACAGCATTTACAGATACCATAACCCTCTATGTAGAAAACACTAAACTGTATTTGCAGATGACATGATCTTGTATGTAGAAAATCCTAAAAATTCTATTTTAAAAAAAAACTACAAGAAACAATTTAAGCAAGGCTGCAGGAGATAAGATCAATTACAAAAGATCAATTGAATTTCTATATACTAGCAATAAACAATCCAAAAGTTAAATTAATAAAACAATTTGATTCATAATAGCATCAAAATGACTAAAACATGTGGAAATAAATTTAACCCTATAAGTACAAGACTTTTATTGTGAAAGCTACAAACCATTGTTGAGATAAATTCAGATCTAAGTGAATTGAGAGAGATATCATGTGCATAGATCAAAATATGCAATATTGTTAAAAAGGCAATTCTCCCCAAATTGATTTATAGATTCAATGCGATACCTATCAAAATCCCAGCAAACGTTTTATTTTTTTTTAAATATATTTTATTGATTTTTTACAGAGAAGAAGGGAGAGAGATAGAGAGTTAGAAACATCGATGAGAGAGAAACATCGATCAGCCGCCTCCTGCACATCTCCTACTGGGGATGTGCCCGCAACCCAGGTACATGCCCTTGACTGGAATCGAACCTGGGACCCTTCAGTCCGCAGGCCGACGCTCTATCCACTGAGCCAAACCGGTTTTGGCTCAGCAAATGTTTTAAATAGAAATTGGCATGCTTATTCTAAAATTTTATATAGAAAGTCAAAGGACCTAGAATAGCCAGATAATTCTGAAAAAGAACAACAAAGAGGACTTAAACCACCCAATTTCTGCACATTATCAAAATTATAACTAAGTTAATCAAGATGGTATGATATTGACTAAGGAAAGACATATAA